CTGAACTAAATAGTAGGACCCAGTCTCAACAACAAAATGACAGTAATGATTTGTATAAGCTTGTATAGAATAGCTGCCTTGTAGGTTTGTTATGAAGGTCAAATAAGATTGCCTGGATACAAAGATCATTGCCCAAAGCAGGCATGCAATCAATCACATTATTCCTTTGCCTCGAATTGTCAGCTCTTATCAACAGCTGGACAGAGTCAGGGTTAGAGTGAGACAAGCCAGTGCCTCTGTCACCCTGAGAGCAAATTCTCTTAGGCACATCCCAGGCAGTTCATGTGCTTCTCCTTGGTCCAGGCATATACCTGAAGCAATGTCAGACCAAGGGTGAGGCATCTCAGAGTAGATGTCCTTCTTCTTGACTTCATCCCCTGAGCCATCATACTGATGGCTCACCTAAAACCCAGAGAAGCACTGTCATCTGACTTAAACCTATCATTCATACATAGCACACTTGGAATCTGAACCCAGATATATTGGCTCCATACTTCAGTACCCTACAAATGGGCTGTCCTGCCCATCTCAGAGTGCTAGCATACCCCTCGGTGCTGTAAGTGGCCTCTGGACAGCTGGGCACCATTTTCTGAAGTCTACCAGTGCTCTGAATACCATAAGAGGAAATGCCTCAAATTTTCAGCACATCTCAAAACATTTACTACAGGGCCTGCTTTATAGTCAGAGTTCAAGAAATAAATATTCACAAATAGAGGAAAAAAGAAGATTCCTGTGCCCTTATAATTCTAATGCAGAGAAACAGTTATAATAAACATTAACCCAGCTAAAGGGGCAAAATGCATTAATTTCACCACAGGCTCTGCTCTTTAAGAAGTTAGCTGTTCAAGCTCCGTGGGGAATCTTGAACTCACAGAGACTCACTCCCACTGTTTCAAAAGAGAAAATTGCCTACCCCCACTGTGAGAGGCGGGTGGAGAGGCATAATGGAGGCTGGGGGAAGAGAGGGAGATTCAGTTGCAGCAATACACTTGTGTAAACCCAAGTGAAGGACACAGAAAAGCAACATTCATGCTTGAGATGAATGAAGGCTCTGGCTCAGGTCTGGCAAGACTTGGGACTCTGTTTCTAACCATCTTCTGGTCATGCCGATGCTGCCAACCCATGGAACATACTTTCAAGCATTGAAGATGTTGTCGCAAGACAATTGACTGGGCAAATCTTTGGCCCTTGATTATTTCCATCAACAGCCCTTTGTCTTTTAACTGTGAGCAAGTTCCTTAATCCCAGACCGGGCAAAGGGCAAGGGAAAATCTGCCAGGAAGACTAGGAAACTGGGAAAGCATCACTCCCCATACAAAGACTACACAAACACTTGCTGGGTGACATCCCCACACATGAAACACTTCCATTTTGTTCTCTATGAAATGAGCATGGAGGCTGATCTCCAGAAGCCAAGTCTAGAGGAAGGATCCTGAGTGTATGGAGGGAATTGTGTAGAAGTTGTGGGCTTGTGGATCTGGCTCAACAGACACACTGTCTTCAGCCTGGAGACTCCCAGGATTCACCCTTACTGTACTCTCTTCTTCTGCAGGGGAAATCTGTGCATTCAAGATCCATGGGCAGGAGCTGCCCTTTGAGGCTGTGGTACTGAATAAGACATCTGGAGAGGGCCGGCTCCGTGCCAAGAGTCCCATCGACTGTGAGCTGCAGAAGGAGTATACATTCATTATCCAAGCCTATGACTGTGGTGTGGGACCCCAGGAGGCAGCCTGGAAGAAGTCACACAAGTGAGCTCCCTGTCTCCCACTTCTGCCCTGGGCTACCCACCTCCATTTACTCTATTTACAAACTGTTTTTTAAATACATCCATCTATGGGTCACACCAGAGGTATGGCTAGAAGGTGGTTTAAAACTCCCAATTCTATTAGCATTGCCTTGCCTAGGAGCAGGAAGTTGGTTGTAGTGGTGACTGGCGGTGTTGATAGGGCTTATATTATAACTGGTCATATTGGAAAAAGACCCAGATGTGGCCAAGGTGATAGTGAGTGCCCCCAGAACATTTGCACAAACTTATCTCTACCCCGGGAATCCTGCACCTGCTTTTCTTCTCTGGAAGAGACCCCCAGGCCACCTCCAGGACCAAGTGAAAGCATGGCTTCCTTCAGGAAGCACTCCCTAAGCCCGCCCCTTGACTCAGATCTAGTCTAAACTTTTCTCTTATTTCTGCAAAGCTCTTTGTTTCTCTCTGTCACTTATGTCTTGCCGTGAGTCAGCTCTGCTCTCTCCCTTATGGAGTTTGGCTCAGTCACAACACGATGTAAGAGCTGTTTGACTTCTCACAGAGTGGAGGAATGAGTGAATAGATGAAGGGGATGGGGAAAATGGAGAAGATGGAGAGGGAATATATAGCCTGAAGTAGGCAATAGTAGGGAATGGTAAAGAGTGGGGATGATTCTATAGAGCAGACTTGCTCAGAATCAAGGCAATGTAGGTGGTTGCTTCCCAGGGGGAGGAGAGATAGAGGCGCTCATGCAGCAACTGCCCTGAGATCCCTGAGGCCTCTTCACTCACATGGCCTTGGATGGATCAATGCCCCACATCATATGGCGTGGTTCCTCCTTTACCATCATTTCTTCTCTCTGATTTGTGCTCCAGGGCTGTGGTCCACATCCAGGTGAAGGACGTCAATGAGTTTGCTCCCACCTTCAAAGAGCCAGCCTACAAGGCCATCGTCACCGAGGGCAAGATCTACGACAGCATCCTGCAGGTAGAAGCCATTGATGAGGACTGCTCCCCCCAGTACAGCCAGATTTGCAACTATGAAATTGTCACAACAGATGTGCCTTTTGCCATTGACAGAAATGGTGAGTGTCCTGAGAAGACACCAGTGCAGCCAGGATAACGAAGTCACCATCCCTGCTCTCAAGGCCAAGAGGGGCCCCACATATACTTGACAGTGTTACCTTACTTGCAACCCTTTATCTAGGTTCCATGACCCAGTTATGCCCTTGAGATGGTGGCTCATTTATGATTAGAAGCTTGCTAAGTCTAACCTATTCCCAAGAAGTCCCAGGAACCTCAATGAACAGGGTCTGGAGAACTCATAATCTCACACATTTGTATACAAAACAAAGGTAGTCTCCGGAAGAATTATGTAACTATTATCTAGGTGCGAGCCTCATCATCACCTTGGCCACATCTGGGGTCCTTTCAGTATTATCAGTTATAATATGAGCCTCCACCCCCCCAGTCACCACCACAACAATCTTCTTTCTGCTTCTGGGCAAAGAGATACTAGTAGAATTGGGAATTTTAAACCACCTTTCAACCATAACTTCGTTAAGGAATCTTTAAAACTCTTGCTGAACTCCCCTTTGAGAATTTCAACCATAGCAGAGCCTCCTCCCAGTTTGAACTGAACTGAAAGTGGTCCCCTAAAACCACTTGGATATTTCTCATCCCCATTAATATGAATCCTGTTACAGTGTACACATAGCCAGAGGTCCAATCAACTCAATCCACATGGACTATAACTTGATTGTAATGAAATAGTAGTATTTGCAGAGTACATTGCTCATTTGTAGTGTGAGTTGTGTGGGTATCTATATATTATCCCCACTTCATTTCAGATATCATTTAAGTAGCATAGAAGGATGCAAAAGTTGCAAGACCTGACACATTCTGTAACAAGTGTTAGGTTTGATGATGGACTCAAGATGGAGCGAGAATAGAATTCAAGATAGCAAGCAATGAGGGAGGAAAAAAGAAAGAGAATCAAGGGGGCATGAAGAGTGAAATTGTGTATAAAGCATGCTGGGAGCTGGAGTGAAACTGCAAATTAGACATGAGAATCTCGCTAGCCAATATCTACAGGGGAAACAAATTAGCCATTTGCTCCTACTTCTTCGGGAATGCTTCATGACATTGAGACCTGAAGGAAGCTTGCACTGTGGTATAATCTTCTGCCTCCTAAGAACAATACCAGAGTCTACAGAGGAAGGGAACACTTTCATCCCCACTTTCAGGTAGCTTGCTGGATGATCTACCTGACTGTTAGGACAGAAGGCTAAAAGACATAGGACTGAGAGTTCCACATCTGAGCATGATTAAATGCTAATTGTACAGGGCAGGAGGTTGGTGCACAGGAAAGAGAAGATGGGAATACTGGAGGGAAGAGAAGTTCTATTTGTACAAACTTCCAGAAGCACTCCCTCACAGCTTCTCCAGCAAGCCAAGCTAAGCCCTGTGAAAGGCTGGCCTGTACCCATTACACACACACACACACACACACACACACACACACACACACACACACACACACACCATAAAATGCAGAAGAAGTGTGGTTTTCTCCTCTAGGCTCTAGGTTTCTAGTCCCCCATCATCAGTTGTTCAGTCTGTCCCCACAAAAGCTTTGGAATTTGGGGCACAACAAGCACATGGTAAACAACAAGACAGCTGAGTGGAGACACCTATGATTAGTGGTCAGACTCCACTTGGCCTCCTGGTCCTTGTTCTCAAGAGCTCCCAAGGAAAGATGAGATGCAAATTCTTTCATCTGAGGGTAAACTGCCCCAGTCATGAAGATAATTACTCACCTTGATGAGCCATTTCGCTAACATATGCCAATTTATTTCCCTGGCTGTCTCATTAAAAGTGAGTAATGGGCCTTTTCCAGGCCTGGCCTCCAACTTTGGTTTACACTGTAAGATGGTGAGGAGAGTTGGCACTCCTAGGGAGTGTGGGTTCCCAACAGAGAGGCTTCCAATAGCAGCTCTCCAGGTAAAGAAGACAGGACCGAGGCAGCTCCCATTCTCATGAGCTTTCCCGTGGGTCCTTAGCCATCACTTCTGTGGTGACTTTCTCAGCTCCTTGAGGTTTTCTGCCTATGACCACATCATGGAAAGTACTGCTGAATCTTGGGTGCCTTCTTTGACCACAGGTTCTCCACATTCTTCATTCCGCAGCTAAAGCAGATGCTCCTGGCTCTTCAACTTGCCAGGGTCTTTTCCAAGAGCAGGGGTCGCGGGAGAAGAGACACAGTGGCAGGACAGCGAAAGACACTAGGTGGAGTCAGAGTGACCTCTTGTACCTAGGGCACTCAACCTGTAACCCCTTGGCCTCCTTCCATGTGGAACCTTGGCAGTATCCGTTCCAAACTCATTGTGGGGTTCCGCAGCTGTGGATGAGGGTGTGTTGAGAGTACTCAGCACATAAACAGTGCTGAGTAATGCTGCTGTCTATGGTCACTGGATATTTGTTCCTGTGACTGGGGCATGGGGTTCAGTCACTCTCCATGAAATCTGGGCTGAGATGACAAGCATGTAACTATGAAGTGAGTTTTACCACCATCTTGGAAAGTTCTAGATCTGCATCGGGTGGTGATACAGGCTCCATCTACCGGCTCTAAGCCCACCTCTCTGAAATAAGCACAACCTGGATCCCTGTTTTCATTAGACAAGTGGAGAACTTGAACCCTAAGGCAAGGAGACTTTCCTAATACATTGTCATACTGTAGGCACTTGGGGCTTCCCACTGTAAACCTCTTCCTTGATGATAATAGAAACGAACAGATGGCACAGGAGTTTCGGTTCATAAACACAGCGTAGGGTGAGATCAGCAAAGAGGCAGAGAAGGAGGTCCCAGGTTTGTCCCCCAACAAAGAACAAGTACATAGCCATGCACAAATGAAAGCAACTAGTCTAGGACAACTTGAGATCAAATTAAGAAATTACAAGACAATGAAAGAAATATTGAGACTAGCAACACAAAAATTGAGTAAGAACATCAGTTTCATTTTACCGGCACCATCCTATCCCCAGACTGACAATGCCCTGGACATGGAGGGCTTCCCTCACTCACAAATTCCTCTCACAGATAAAAAGTAGAGCCTGCTGAGCAAGCAGCTTCCCTAGTCTTTCAAAACAGTTGCCACATGACTCACTTCGACATCATCCTACCAGATCACTGGGGAGGCCAACATAGCCAAGAAATCAGGCAATCTAGGAACAAATTAGATGACCAGGGGCTCTCAGTGTCAGACACGTAGCAGGAATCACCATGGTCTCCAGTGGCCTGCTCTGCAGAGAACACTGGCGGCCTTCCCTGGGCACCTCCGGCACTCTCTTGGTCACTACCCTGTAGCTTTCATTATCATGTACCCTGCAGTGTTTGGCCTGGTGGACGACAACACCATTCCCCACATAGGAATCCAATAGACCGCATCCTCTTTCACCACTAAGGAACCCATAGTTTTTCACTTTTTCAGTCCCCGGGTGTTTGAATCACTACTCCTCCTCTTCCTCTCTCTCAAGATGACCTGGCTTTATCCTCCAGGGATAACCAATCAGACACCAGTACAGCCGGTGAGTCATAAACAAATGACCTGTGTGCACACTGCAAGGATAAGCTGACTATTACATGTGCACTTGTGAATAATCTGTAAGCCATGTGCCCATGAGCAGCTGGACTCAACTCCCATTACAAGGTCTCCCAGCTGAACACATGGCTGCAGCTATCTCATGCAGTCATGAGCATGCTGCCAGCCCTAACTCCCATCAGAAAACCCCATAATCATGCTAACTCCCCTACCCATAAGTTTAAGTGTAAGCTCTGATGCCTCTAGCTATAGGTGTCTATGGAGTCACTAAGCCTGCTGTTGATACTGATCAGCTCATGTGCTCACAGTCAACCCTTGTAGCTACACAAGTGTACACAACCAGCCCCAGCTGCATCACTCATCACCTTGACCACCACTGTGCTTGCACTCATAGCTAGTTCTTGCATTTGCCTACAATCATACTGCTAGCTTGAACGCTATTGTTACCCTATACAGACAACTGGCCTCATCTCTAGAGCTGGCTCCCATGCACCAAATGGGTGTACAAAGCAGTCATTAAAATGGAATGTGTATACATTATCAGCCCTATGCCTGTAGACACACCCTATACAGATCCAGAACTGGCTCTATCCTGACCCTTTTCACCATGTCCATTCCTGCAGACAGTTAGATGTGCAACAACAGTCTCAACATCTGCTGTGTCAGCTTCTTGTCACAGCTACCACTGAGAATACCAAGATGCCCCTCTGTCACCATATCCCTTGCAGCACCAAGGACTATATATTGTGGATGTTGCACACCCCAAATTCCTGAGTCAAGACATCATGTTCTTCCTTTCACACTAAGCATGGGGCCATAATGTGTCTCTTCAACCCACACAGTGAAGGCATTTCATTTCTGAAGCCATTCTCAAAAGTCTAGAAAAGGTGCTATCTCTTCAAATGCTCAGGCAACTACTGAAGACTGCAAGTCATTCCTACCACCCACATGTAATTTCAGTTCCAGGGGAACTGATGCCCTCTTCTGGCCTCTGTAGGCAACAAGCATGCATGTGGTTCACAGACGTACATGCAGGCAAAACACACACTGAGTTAAAAGTAAAACAAAATGAAGTATTTAAAAAAAAGAAACACCTTACAGTCTGGGAGATAGTAAAGTAACATATTGAAAGTGATTAAACAACAATAACAAAAAAACCTGCCATCAAAGAATACTTTACCTGGCAAAGCCATCTTTCAAAAACAAGAGAGATATGACTTTCAAGATGACCAAAAATAAAGACAGTTCGTTACCACTAAACCTATCTTACAAAAAATCATATCACTCCTTGAGCCAAAGCAAAATGATGCCATTTAATAATATCAAAACATATGAAAGCCATTGGTACTGGTAAGTACATATCAAATTTGCAATATTCTGATACTATCGTGGTGGTAGGTAAATTACTTAGAAGTATATCTTAAAGACAAAGGTATTAAGAATGAGTACAGCTAAGATAATATATCAGCAAATAAAAAAGCAGGT